TGACACAAGACATTTTTAGAGAATGAAAAAGCGATGGAAAAATGAGCATCGTAGCTGTCAGTCTGGTCTTTACAAAATCCCTTGCTCAGATTTCTTGTTTCCGACGCTGAAATGGAGGATCAAAGGCAACGATATTAATTATCATTCGTATTTTCAACCTGCAAAACATTGTGGTCAACCCTGTGCAAAACCTCGCGAAAGTTGACTTTTAATTCTTCTACGAAAAGTAGAAAACTTGATGGAGCAAGTGTTATTGTGCTCGAAAGAGTTATCTTTTCCAGTGTTATTTACGAGATATGGCTAAAATATGCACTTATACAAAATATTGCAATATCATATACAGTGTGGCAAACACGTTGTCTACCTGAAGTGTTGCTTGTAGTAATATAGAAAACTATTATATATAATGTGATGTAAATTTTTGTACATAAGTGGAGGTATAGAGGAGATTTCAACGTCATCTTTATTTTTGTAAATGGCGATTTAAAATATACCTAGAAATATTCCAGGTGAACAACGTTTCTGCCCCACCCTGTACATTCGAGTTAGCGAGTTGAAACTTACTTCAAAGATACAATAAGTTGTACTTTTATCAGTTCTCAATAAAAGGATTCGGTGTAATTACTTTCCTGACACAGTTGTGTACCACACTTCTCTGGTTCCTCAATGTCCCAGTAAATCACATCGATGTGTAAGTACTCTTAGTGCAAAATTTTCCATTAATTGGATTATTTTCCCAATCGATGTCAACATATGTATGCGTTCAGGGATTCCGATGTGGCTCTGGTTTTTCAATGAGCCTATTTGTGATAAGTCAAAACCTCGGTGTGCAATGTTTGGTCAAATTTCTATCTCTAAACACACGAAGCTTCCTATTAATCGCGATATAGTTACTTCACGAACTTCTCATTTCCTAACTCGTTGCTTCTTTGAAGTTTAATGTTCAAATCTTCAAGTATGGGTGTCTAGATCTGATGACATTTTTGTTTTATTTTTAACCATAGAGTTACGACGACAAAGTTCCTACAGAAACCTGAAACACACCCTGTATATAAATATATTCATATACGTACTGCCTGTAACAATATTTGTCTCGGATCAATCGTTTTTATTCCCTTATCTGAATGGACAGCGTAAATCAGCTTTTATCCGCACGGCCATGAGATGTCCATTATGTTTTATGTCTGGAAAACTGCTCGTTAATAATTTCAACGAAAATTTATTAAATGTTTCGCTATACTTTCACTTCCAAATTTTTTAGAATTGACAGACTGATATACTATTGGACCTATTATGGAAATGAATTATGACGGATGGTACCAGTTAATTTGCGTCGATGTCCAATGCCACGTGCACAAACTTCTTACTAATTGAGCCCCTTCTGCGACATTTAAATATACCGACATAAATAAACGAAGTTTATTTCGACTTATCAATGTTTAATTAAAGAAAAGTTTTCAGCATTCGTATTGACATTTGTAACATTTGGTAACTTTAGAAGCAGAAGGGGAGATAAAAAGTTCGATCTTTATTTGCAGCGTGCAGCCTAATAGCCGTCAGGTTTACTTGGCTCCTTAGGAACTCGCGAATTTATAACATAATTTGTAACATTTTACAATGATAAATTACCTCATAAAGCAGATCGTTGGATTCGTATCAACAAACGCTATCGTACTATGGAAAAAAATATACAGTTCCATTTTTAAAAAATGCACTTGTAACAGAATGTATTACATAATGAAAGAAACTTTGTAAAGACCTGACTCATTACTGAAGTTATATCATTATCAGTGCCAGTAAACACTAACAGGTGAAAATAGTCAAGAATAAAATTACACAATAACAACTGATTTTCTCAAGAACCTTTTGACTACACTTTTGGCTTGTTTTGCACAGTAACTAAACCGACTATCTAATTACAATAGAGTTTAGAGGATGCAGCAATGTTTCCAAGGCGCTGCTTTTTACCGCTGAAACTTCGCGAGATTCTGAATTTGGCTCTCTTTTGTTCAAAGAAAAGTCGTTTGAGGAAATTCGAAGCATTCGATAGGTTAGAGCGAGTCCAGCGGCAGCGTCTGTGCTGCGCGCACCAAGGCTTCTTTAATAAAGAAGTCGGGACGTAGACTTTCATTAAAAAGGTCAGACAAGCAAGCAAAAGAATCAAAGTGCAGTTTCGAAGGTAAAGCGGTGTTCCCGTGCAATTTACTGCAGCCCACTGTCTTTGCACCGCTGTGGGTTAAAAAAGAAAGAGAGGAGATAAAGAACGGAAATTCGAAGCAACAAAGCAGAATTAAATCTCATAAATTTCGTACGCAATGTCTAGAAGAGAGGAGACGAAGGATTTCGTGCATTAGGATGACAGGAATACTTTAACACGCCTTAGGTGTAGAAATGAATTCTTTCCGACTGGGTTCGCATAATTCATTCAAAGTCGTCGAATTTCCATTCGCAAGCTGGCAGAAAAATGGCGAAAGGTCATCCACATTGATGGAAATTATTCATTTATTTTCATTATTTTTAAGTAAAACTTCGACTGTACCCAAAAGTCGAAAAAAATTCATTTTTCCACACGATACACCGCGTCGTCAGAAAAACTCTATTTTTGCTTAGCACACAGGATGGTTGTGGAGTGCACAAAGGCTAGGAAGGAAAAGCGCAAACGAACGTGAAAAGAAATCCGGTGTAGCTTAAAGGATGGTTATGCATTGTAGAAAATTCACCGTTTGTGGCGAACGAAAGGGCGAAAAGGACCGATTCAAAGGAATTTTCTTCCTACTCGTTCGAGTATATATACATACACCCTTAACCCGTAGCCCTTTGGCTGCTCGATGTCGATGGAGATTCGATACATGTGGACGACTGATCGATCAGAGAATCGACGATTCTTCGATGAAATCGTCTCATACGAGCGTGCACATGGGGATGTTGAGTGAGAAACAGGATTCAATCGACGTAATGGTTCGCCGATAGCGCAATGCGGCTCGAATATGCTTTGTACATATAATACGATTATTTTGCGCCGGTACAGAAGTCCGCTCATTAATTCACTCACGAATCTCTATGTTAATGGCCACGTTTCACTATTGTTACGCTGTCAAAGTCACGCACGAATGACAGAATATTGACGGCGTACCTGCAGCGCGCGCTTTACCTTCCTCCTATTTATGAATTTTTGAATGAAATTTCGATAGTGTGTAGAAAGTACACATTCCGTTTAATCGTTTCACTGTCAAAGCATATTCGGTCAGGATTAGAAAATGGCGTGTATTTTGCATTAAGCTTTGGAAATGGCAATTTATGATCATCTGTTAACACGTTCCCTGCTGGACCAATTATCTAGACCAGAGCTGCTTAACTTCTTGCCCACGAGCAAATTTCCTCTCCCGAGGTGCCTCCACTGTGCGACTGAGATGATCTCGTTCGAGTTGCGGCGCGGCGGAAGGACTCAAGGAGTCCTCTCTCAACTTCAGCGATAGTTTTTTGATACGAAATGACTGGTACGAGCACGCAGAATGTGTAACAAACAAAAGGCAGACGTTGGAGTTGTAGTGGGAAGACTCCTTCTCTCGTGATCATCTCGTGGGTGAACCTCCGGAGGGGAAATTTGCTCGTGAGCAAGAACGAGACTAACAATTTTACATGCGCGTAATACAGAATATCCCGCAAATGAAAAATAAATTTCTCTTGAACGAAGCTTTGTTTTGGGAAAAATAAATTTTGAAAATTTGTCTATGGTACAGGGTGGGTCACGTAAAACAGATCACTTAATTGTTTTCTCTAGCTGAGCTGGTACGAGACAATTTTTTATACGTAATTTAAATGGTTTTCAAAAAGCGAATAAGGTGGAAGAAAAATGTTTTATAGATGCAATTTATTTCTACTGCATGTTGTAGCAGACATTGACGTCTGTTTAAACATTCATAATAATATAACCTTAAAGTAACCTGGGACTCTAATATTTTAAATGAAGCTTCCTTGCACATTTTGCCATTTCTTCCATTAAAAAGGAATTTTTCTTTGATGGAAGTTCAAATTTAACGGAAGTACTATATACAAAAGGAAGGTGATTTGTAGTTGTAATAGCAAATCGTTCCCCAGAAGATTTTAACAAAATTTTATTATATGTTAATGAAAATTTGATTACGTTTCAATCTTCGACTTCATCTCTTTCTGATATTAATGTACAATATTGAATTCGTCTTAATTTTTCAGAAAATTAAGAAGAATATATACTTCCTGATAGATTTCTAAGTGTATTATTTAAAAGTAGAAAAAGAAAAACAAGAAATAGTATTTAAAACCGGGAACCGTATATGGAACAAACTTTTAACGAATCTTAACAGAGATAGACAACCCTTAAAACAATAAAAATATCCTTTAAAAATGTTTCCTGCAGTTAGTGCATTTTATTATGGATAGAACACAAAATAATATAAATTGATGAGACTGAATTGAGAAATTGAATAAATAAAAAAAGGTAAGCTAATATCCTACCAATCAAATAAAGTTTTAATTCAGCGCGTAAAATTAGCGATTACCTTATGTAAATACTAAAATTAAAATAAACTTATTCTCCAAGAATGCAATAACTTCCTTTAAAACTGTCACAGAAAATATAAATAATTTCTAGACATTTGATACCTGTATTATCAGGGCTGCATTTACCCCAAGGCGTATTAGGCGCAAGCTGGAGCTTCACTCTCTGTCTCTCACAAACAAAAAAAAAAAACAGTCTAGTTGTAGTTGAAAAATAGAATACTTGGTTTTAAATATTAAATTCATAACGTAAAAGCAAGAGGCCGCTGAAAACGAAAACGCCAAGTTCGTTTAAAACTTGTTCTTTGTTGCAATGATGTTGCATCTACGGCCTCCAAAAGTGTAAATACGGCCCTGCTGTATTATGAAACAAAAAAAAAGCAGACATAAACCAGATTGTTAAGCTAACCAGAAATACTAATCCGAAGAATAGAACCAGAATTATTTGTTCATTTTTATTGCAGGAGTGCAAGCACCTCCAAGAAATGATTCGGTTCGCCTGGAGCCAGGACCTCTGGTAAACGGAGCTGGAGCATTTTACGTTGCTGCAACATGTTCGTGCGCCTTACTATTAGTCGTCGGCAGCATAGCGAGTGCCTTGTATATTCGCAACAGCAAGGCTCGTATACAAGAATCGCAGTAAGTACAGCTTCTCGAATACGCCAGCCTCCAGCCTAAAGGAGACTCTGGTTTTGCGTTAAATTGTCCAAAAAATTTATTTCTAACGAAATTAAACGAGAGTAACGCTTAAATGCACTTTGAAAGTTTTGCGACTCTTGATGCGTCAGAGAATGGAAATTAGAATTGTGAGAGTGAAAGATCTGTCAAAGATTTGGTTTTGTAGGTGAAAATGATATAATACATCATTGGAAAGCGTATGAGTGCAGAAGTCCAACATGGCTGAATTTTTTGAAGTTCCATTTAAACAAATGTTACTTTTCATTTTCGATGCATTTTTTTGAAAAGTATGCTGTATAGTTTTAGCAAGACTTTCATTGGCACTAATTATAATGCAAATTAAAATTACATTAATTAATTTAATTAGATTAATTTTACCAAAATAATATTGTGTAGAAAAGAAAGTACATATTTGAAAGGATCTACTACACGTGATCGACAAATACAAATTTCAATTCTGATACACGTAAAAATGATATAATTACAATCATTAAATATCATCACATTTCGTCCGTATTTCATCTTATCTAGTAGAAAATTAATACCACCAAAGCAACCGTTCGCATCGAGTAAAATTTAACGAAATATTTACACATTAGCCAATCTCCCGTGAAACGAAGGGCAGCAAATTTCAGAAAGAACCGCGATTCAGCATCGATCGAGCAAGCTGCTCGTTAAAAGCCTAATTTGATCGTGGCGTAAGCAAGCAAGCAAGGCACGAGGATCTACCGTCACGAATAAATCGTCGTCCCGTCAAGGCAGCGTGTAGGCCGTTGGTTGCTCATAAAGTTCGCACAGCTACCGGCTTTTTACGTATCGCCGGGCACATTTTCATTTCCCACGAGCACCAGCAAGAGAGTGAAAAGTCGTCGGCGCGTGTTACTGGCTGTCATGAATTTCCCGCTGGAAGCTTGGAACGGGGCTAACTTGGACCCAGTTCACTGTAGGGAAGAGACAGAAGGGCAAAGAAAGGTTTCCACACACCCGCGGGAAATTCGTCGGATAAGCTGGATAGGAACTCGTTCGCATGAAATATCCTTTCAATAAGCCTCAGTGATCCGTCGGTCGCTTGCCGCGGCAGCCGACATTTTATTGCACGGCTACACGCCCCACTGTTCGAGATAGAACTCCTGCGAGGGAGGATGTAACCAACGGACTCAGGGGGAAGGGAACCACTTATCTCCTTCGCCTCTGTCTCCTCCATTCCTTCGCCTTAACTCCTCTCTCCCTTTATATAGCACTGGTCATCAGAAAATTTTTTAAATGAACAATAGAAGAGAATAGTGTTAGCTTGCTTCTCGCGATTCTTGTGGTTCGAATGTTGGGTTGACGCTTTGAGCGTATGTGGGCAACTCGCGGCCAGATATGGTCCGCGATCCGTCCCCGCGAAGTCTTTAAATTAGTACTGATTAGTATCGTGTTGCATTTTATAATTTTATTTAATATTTAGTCAAAGTTGTATCCAACACTTAATCACATGCAACATTACATTGGAGGTATTAATATATTGATACGTAAAAACACACGCGAAAACCCATTTAGTTTGGTCCTTGACTCGGAGAGAGAATGATAATTTGACTCCAGAACCAGGAAAAGTTGCCCATGCCTGCTGAGCAGGCATAAACGAAGAGATTTCATTGTTTCGATTAACAAAGTTTATTGTCTGCCGTTAAGTAGTTTGCAAGAAGTAAGAGATGCTAAGAAGATGCTGTACTTAGTTACTTAGACCCAATTACACTTCTCCGTGTTTCTCCTTATGACTTATTTTGTCTTAAAACTTTAGGGGTAGGCGGTGACATGATTGGCAAATCAGCTTATTTTTACAACCGTTAGGAGTTTTACTTTACAACATGGGCGACCAGGCCTGCTATCTTTGAGAACTTCTTATTTCAAATTCCTTTGTTGTTTAATTTTCCTTTCGGAGCAGTGTCGAGGCCCAGAAAAGTCTTTTGTGGACACAGAAGCTCTACACTTCGTGCCTTCCTGGTGCCCGTACATTTACGCTCAATTTCACCAATTTCAGTCCTGTTAGGCCATCCTTTAGGCCTCATACTTTATGCCGACTGGGGAAATCCAGGGTGGACCGTGTACTCGTGGCTCATGGAAGACAGTCCAACACGAAGAAGAGATACTATTCGTCATCGTAGACCACCCCACACCACACATTTTAGTATAAACAGTAAGATGGTCAAACGCGTCGTCAATGACCGTCAAACCTTCATTAACAAAGTGTCACGTCGGCTACATCTGTCTACTAGAGCAGTTCGCATTACAAATTCACATTCATATCGTCTATTTTCGTAACAATCGTTCAACTCACACGAAATTAATGTAGCGTATGAGAGACGCGAAGTGACTCTAATCATTGAAGAAGATTTGCGTTTCAACAACAGTCTTCCCTGGTCTGCGAACTTAACACCCTTAGGATTTGTAAGTCGGTAGAATGGTAGTACAGCGTCTTAGCACCGTAAATGGGAAGACTGGCACTGGAGATGGCCCAAAGGCAACTGGTCTCAACGAGATTTAATTAAAATTAATGTAGCGTATGAGAGACGCGAAGTGACTCTAATCATTGAAGAAGATTTGCGTTTCAACAACAGTCTTCCCTGGCTGCGAACTTAACACCCTTAGGATTTGTAAGTCGGTAGAATGGTAGTACAGCGTCTTAGCGCCGTAAATGGGAAGACTGGCACTGGAGATGGCCCAAAGGCAACTGGTCTCAACGAGATTTAATTGTCTATGTGTCATGACGTAGCTTTACGTCACGTCAATTGCTGTTAAATTGTAGAAGCAGGGCGCCATCGTACCTTGTGGACCGCAAAAACACAGGGTTTCTGCATGCATAGGACCATGGGAATCTGGTTCAACCCTTTGCGGGCGTAGAACTAAGTACCAAGTCGAAGTGCCGATTACTTGTACAACACATAATTAGGTCACTACTTCAGTTTTTTTTTTAATTAAAATTATATCAAAATTACATTTTCCTCGAATATAGTGCATGAATTCATGGTCACTCCAACTACTTTTAAGGTAAGTTTATTGGTTGCGTTCATAATGTTTTGTGACCACATATATGAGTCTATCGTCCTCGAAGGGTTAATGGACGTCGAATATAAATGAAACCGTTGAATAAGAATGTTTCAAAAATAGCGTGGCTATACATACGTATCGTAAACACAAAGTTTTAACAAATAGCTTAATTTGACGAAAAGAAAACTATATTTTATAATAGCAATCAGTTTATCGTAAATGTGTACGTCGTACGATAGAACAAAGAGAATAGAAGCATGTGTAAGAATGAGCAAGTAGATATTTCGTTTCAATCATAGGAACAAACGAAGAAATTGGTTGCATTAAAGCGACTGTAATATCAAGTTTCTATTATTATATTTACTTAGTTTTTTGTTATTATACTATTCCAGTACTTCACAACGTTATGTCCCAACACAAGTTAAAAAGTGTACGATCTTATTTTTACGAACACTCAAAATTCACTGCTTTATTAAATTTTGATACAAAAGGGTACGTATTCTATTTAGAAAAACTGTTTCAGCCTTACATGTTCCCTTCGATACCGTGCAACTTCTATATAGAACACTTTTTTGTAGAACACATATGTTAGAAGCTTTTCCGGGTGAACAAGTTATGACTCTCCCTGTATATTCTAGAATACTGTCACGATGAATTTTTATTAATACTTAAACAAATACGGTATTTCTGGGAAAGCAGTCTTATTTGTCGTTTTTCCTTTCCAATTTCACTTGACTTGGTTAATTGTTGCTTGAAAATCATCTGAAAATAATGTCATTAGCAAGTACGAAATGCAATAATACTGAGAAAATATTATTTAGAACACTTCGTCTCGTTTAAGCAAAAATATTGATTTCACAGAGTCGCTGATTTGCTTCGAAATCGCAGCAGTCCCACAGTTTAATATTTCGGACACACAGTTTCACGGTGGTCCATCCCCCAACGGAAATATTTTTATGGAACGACATTTTTATGAGAAGGGGAATGCAAAAGTAACCCCTCCCTCTTCGGGAAATTCCATCTTTCCTCCTTTCTGTCTTTTGGGGAGGTCTCGACGTGGGCCAATTGTCTCTCGAGGGATCTATTAACTCTTTTGAAGCCCTCCAAGCTGATAACGCGCGGGAAAACGAGGCTTCAGGATCCTCCTCCGGTCCGTATACGTCCCCTCTGGGGGCGAGACTGCAGATTTTACATCCGTTCACTCGAGTAAACACAGCATCCACCCTTGCACCCTCGTCCTCATTGCCACGTCGATCTCAACGCGCAGAGGATGATTTTAGGATTTAACGAGAATACGCTGCTCTTTGCGGCCGAATTGTTCACTCTGCGAACGAAGTTGGGAAATTTCTTCGCTTCGTTTCACATGTAACAATCTCGAAAAATTTTATCTGGAAAATAATACGTTTAAAATATCTTGTTCCGAGTATCATAAAGCACCGTGGACAAAAAGTTGGTAAACTCGATAACATTGCTTGTATTTTCGGTATACTCGAAATTGTTAACAGAAACGCCACGTTTGTAATAGATACTCTTGGGAATATATGATATTACTACGTCTCCGACGACAAATTAATGGCGCGGGAGAATTTTGAAGGAGGAGTACGTTAAGTTTTAGACACTTGCAGTACCGTTGTGTATATTTGAACTATGATACAAAGTCGACATTCTGCAAAGATTGACTCAATTGTTTCTAATTGGAAATTGTTCTGTATTCTTGCGAAACTTGTGAGAACTGTGTAACTCGAGCTCCAAATGGAACCTTTTGTTGGTTCTGCCTTTTCGGTTATCTTTTAGGTTAATCTAATATCGATTTAATATCTCTTATAATCTAATATCTAATATTTAGTATCTTTTCGGTTAAATAAAATATAAACCTGGATTGTAATCCTATATAATTATAATCGTTTCACTTCAGTGAATACACTTGATTTAACGCTCCTCCTGTGTTCATAGAAACACACCCTAATTATGTGCAAATTGTACAGACCCAATACAGAAACACACTATAATTGTTTGAAGTTGTACCGCAATGTAACAATTTTATGTTTCAATATGTGAGAAATATATGAGTAATTTAATGTACAAAATAACAATTTATTAAGAGAATTACAAAAATAGCATATGCAAAGCTAAAGCGTTTTCATTTTTGCAATTAAATTACTAATAAGTGTTTCTTTTTGCAAATATATTTACAGCACTTTATGCATATTATCATTTTCTTAATATTATTAGATGACGAACGGTATTTGCACCTCGCTCTGGAGGTTCTTTGTCTCCCCGTCGAATTTGTGTATTTATATTATATTACAGATACAAATTGTGGAGGGACCGATTTGATGACGATGGTTAAATAACTGAAAAATGAATGTAACGGTACTTAGTCCTCTATAATTCGGTTTTTTGTTCGTTCATGAGAAAAAAATTACGGTTAATTACAAATTTACATTTTAATAGGAGAAGCAGGGGTGAATAATTATTATAAGGGATTGGCTGGTAATAATGTAATAGTGCAACAGGGTAGCAATAAACAAATAAAATGAGACTTACGAAATAACGTGGCTCCAAGTCACAGTGTTATAGAGGACATACAGGAATACAACAAAATGTAATATAATGGCCATTGTATACATATTAATTCCTATGTGTTATGTCAAACATAATATAAAAAATGTAAATTCCACAAGCGTGTCAAACGATATATTTATCCTAGCAGTTAATTCCTAGATTTCGTGAAATCAAAGATTTGCAAACACAACGAAATTTATTTATTGCTATTTGCACGGTGTTTCCTTTGAACGTTCAATACAAAAAACACGTTAAAGTTGAAAGTCCAAGAGTACGAAGTTATAAAGTCTAACATTACAAAATCCGGCAGAGTTCTCTTTAAAGTCCACAAGAGTAGGTACTCCTTGAAGCCCCAAAAAGTTCTGTCCAAAGTTCAAACACTTTCTGCGCCAAAATTTGAAACATTAACATTGATTAGTGTCACATTTGTTAATAAAAGATGAAATTGTATGTACATATTTCGAAAGAGCATTTCTTCAGTTTTAAATTGAGTACGAGAACAAAAAATTGTTTTAAACAACTGGAAAACTGTACAAAACAGAAAGGTAAAATTTTGCACAGTTTAGCTTCTAGAGACTATAACTGCATTTTGTACGTTTTCACGTGAAATGGCTCATACCGCTTGCCACGACTGGGCGCCCAGCCTTTTTTAATCAAAAAATGGGATCACAATTCACAATCGAACCAAAATATACAACGTTGCTGATTAAACCATTTCTCTACGTCCAATAGTACTTGAGATATGGAAGGAAATATGCTTTTCACCCCCTAAAATTGTCGATTGAAAAGAATACGTGTCCAGTATCGTTTTCACTACTATTCTATCATACGTGAATTTCACTAAAATCGACGATTGACACATGAGCAATATCCCTTGTAAGAAATATATTAAAAAATATCAAGGTACTGTTAGGATAAACACGAATTTCCACCACTCCTCACACTATGGGTGCAGGGACATCGTAACGCCGCGCTTCAGTTTTTCCAAAAGCAGTCACTTCAGATTATTGATTTTGTAAAAGTTGATCGCGATGAAAGAGTTATTTTCGTGAACGAAGTGCTAAGATTTTTGAAGTCCCGATAAAAGTACGATAAAATTTACAATTTACTTTTAATCCTTCTAGTGTGTTTGGGTTTATATGACCCATCCGGATCTTTAGATTGGTGCCACTTTTTTATGTTTAAATTGCATTGGAATCAGTAGGGTAAATATTCTAATGTCGCCCTTTGTAATATTTCGTAAACAAAGTACTGAACTGTATCAGTACACTAATAGCCAAAAATGTGTAGGAAAACATATTATGTTTGCAACGTGTAGTGGAGTAGAAGTATTTTAGTGAAAACATTTATCGAATTGTGACAATTTAACATCACATTGCGAGTGATGTTAAGTTTAACTCTTCGTTTAAGAAAGAATTTTTCAGACACAATCCCAATAAAAAGGTGTTTAACATAGCCTCTAAAACACTCATATGGCTAAAAATAATGTACATAGTTTTGCGTTTTTCCAATTGTGATTGAAACATCTTCACATTTCAACAGTTTTAACCTGTCGTTAGAGCTACACGGAACAGAAACGATACCTTTCTCACCTGAGACTAATTAAATAGAAAAATATCAATAATCGAGGACCACTTGAATTTTGGTAGGCGAAATTAGGTGCGCTTAAACTACCACTGTGTTCTCACATTTTTCATAATTTACACTAAAATTCAAATACCGGTGTATAAAGGCTGCCAACCTTTTCCAGGCTTAACGAACAACTCCAAGAAAGTGCTCCCTTGTGCGGGAGACATATGATGATTTGCGTACAAAGGTTAAAATAACCAATACAGGTAAAATTGACTGCGAATACTACTTAACGTATCAATAGATTACGTCTGCATGTCTAGCGGACATTTATATACGCGGAAAGGAAGCAAATCGAGCTTACCGAATCTGAACTCCTCTACCTCCCTCGGTATGAAATACAGTCGGTAGGTCCTCAGGCGTAGATACAGAGAATCGCAAAAAGCCGAGTAGAGAATATTTGGAATCGTTGCTGCAATACATTCCTCTCTTTCGTCCAACTTTTTGTCGAACAGTGCCGGCGGATTTACATGAACGAAACGGCCAATAAATCCGGCGAAATATTGGAATTACCGTTCCTCCACGAGTTCTCTCGTAGTATTTTAGTTTTCCCGTTGTACCGCTACATTTGTCACACTGCTCGTCCCGTTATTCGCTGCTTTTCAGCTTCTCTCTGTTCTAATATCACGCTACGAAGGTGAAAAAACCTCCTTCTTTGATCATTTTCTTCCGCTTGCTAAGCGGTAATTTTACGCACCACCATCGACGATACGGATCGTGTAGGATACGCTGGCAGATTTATTCGCCAATTTTCTCCGATATCGAGTCGCCGATTTAACGAGTAAAAGGGAAACACGCTATTTCTCAAATTTATGCGTACACTGTGTCCTCCTGCATGACAATAAAGGAATATGGAAAGGAATGTATTCACAGATTGTGGAAACCATGGAAATTGCAATTTTAACTATAGCATATTTCTAAAAGCGATTGATGTAAGAGGATTAGTTAATTTACTTAAATTAATTAGATGCATAATATAAATGACAGATACGAGACTTGTATTTTGCTAAATAAATCGTGTATCGATTGTAATGATTCTTATTTCGAATAAATATGTTAATTTTTTTTATGATTATTTAAATTTTGAATGCTCGGAGGGGTTCATTTGTGCACTGACCTCTGTGTCGCGACTCGGTGGGCTTACGAGTTTAGGGTCCTAGGGCCACCGTGTTCTGGAACGTAACGTGCTCCTTCCAACATGGTTCTTCTTTGATGCTTTTCTTGGTTTTAGTTGCAGTAAGGATTTTCTGAATCCACTGATTTTGTTAATAATAAAATATGAAATCACTATTGTCAATCGTAGATCGCGAGTTTTAATTCCCGTTGGGTTCTTAAAATCTTTCCTCGGCTCCTACACTAGCTTCTAATTTCGAAATTAATCTTACGTGCAAGTAAAATGAAATTTTCTAAGATAGTTAAACTGAATAATCTAACTTACACTGTACGCATGTAAACAGTCAATAAAACTAGAACAACGGTATTTCATGACAAATCGGGGGATTTCATCGCTATCCTAAGAAAATCGGAAGTTGAAATATTAGGTATAAGTTTGTGCGGTTTTCATTTCGTATTGAATGAAATTCATAACATTTGCCTATCAGCTATGTGATATCCGTCATTCGATAGCTTTCATTTTCTTCTTTCATGTTACCATAAATGTTTCCATGCTGTGCTAATGACAATAACAAGATTTTTGATCAAAAATGAGCACTTTCGACATATTTTACTTTATGATTGAAGAACCATTTTGACAAAATAGCTCTTCAGGACCTTCTTCAGTATCCACCCTACTCGCCTAACCTTACTCCGATGGACTACCACTCTCCACTCCCTCTGAAAGGCTCTAAATGGATTTTCTTTCGATAACGACACGGAACTATGAAAACGGTTTGAAGAAGTTGTGAATAATGGTGGAAAATACGTCATTGATACACTCATGTTAAATACAATAGTGCACGCATCAGCGTCCGCACTTTTGCACACTTAAGCGTCCGTCGCTGTCCCCATAAATTCTTGGAAATGGGTTCGGAGTGGAGTTAGAGCGTGCCGAGTGAAACAAAGTATTCGATATCGACTCCTGAATGTGAACAACTGACACTTGATATATCGGTATCCCACTCACAATCAGACACATCTCCTCTCTTTTCTTTAGTTAAATTCGCAGAAGTCACCACCCCACTTAAGCGTCCCGACTGCGGACGCTTATGTGTGCACTACTGTACTTCTGAAAAAAGTGAAGTTTTCACATTCGAAAAAACCGCACGAACTTACGGACCGACCTAATAGAAATGTTCAAACGTCGTAGGGAGTTCGACAGGTCACGAGGGAAGCAGCGAAATGAGAAGCTAGTAATGGAGCAGAAGCAAATGTCTCTCTCGATTATTACTTATACAACTCAGCGGACGATGCAAAGCATGTCGTGCATTACAGATATAATTAACCCTGTGTATAATCATTAGGTGGCTACAGGACTGTCTGTCCTTTCAGGAACACACTGCCCTGCTGCAGCTATTCAGCGGCAGACACCGGTGGCTTGGCCAGAAGTTCTGTCCTGGTTAGGGTCGACCCACGACCCGGAAGCGCGAATTCCGGAAGTTACGCAACCATTGCCGACCTGGAGCCACTCTATGCGAGACCTTGCGGTTCCAGAGCAAGTTACTACGCTTCCAGCCATGTGACGCATCTGAGCCAGGTACGGTGTAAAATCATTTTACCGAAAGTTCCCTAAGATATTGCGCTAAGTATCTGCGCTGCTCCTGAATCATGAAACTCCGCGGAGATGCACTAGCCTGCCTTATATCGTGTACTGCTCTAATCAATTTCATATTCGATTGAACACGATTTTATCGTGAAAAATGTTAACATACATTGCTATTCGTGAGTTTTAGTCTTTCCAAATAGATATTTAGAAGCAGAAGGGAAGATAAAATGTTCGATCTTTATTTACAGCCTAATAGCCGTCAACCAGCGATTCAGGTTTACTTCTTAGTAACTCACGAATTTGTAACATTTTGCAATAATAAATTACCTCATATGGCAAATCGTTAAAATCGTCTCAACAAACGTCATCCTACTATAGCAAACAAATGAAAGAAAAAATGAACTTGACTTTGAAATTTTCCCCCATCGCTCGACCTGCAAAAAATCAATTTGCGCCATATGGTGTCCGCCTTCATGCCGAACAACTTTTGTTCAAACATTTTTTTAATAAGTTCAGTTTCTCAAGAGATATTTCAATTTTGCGAGATAAAGTAATACAAAATACTTCAAATAGCGCAATTCAGACAACTTCCTTTTACATTGAACACTACCTGCTTTTGCACTTAAATTCGACACAGTATTCGAAAGGGACAAAGGTTCCAACAACGTACGGTATCAAATAAAATTACCCTTAGAATCATTATCCTCGTGCCACTGCAGTAATTACTGCACCAAGCTCTACAAAGTCTGGCAGAACTCGGGAATTTTTCCAGCGTTTAAAGAGTAAGGTAACCAAGTATTCAATGTTCTTGAAGATCGTACTTCGCGAACTCGCAAACTGTGGCCCGCGCATATGATTGGACGGCTTAAAATGTCAGGCCATTGTGTTTCTTCGAATGGCGTAACGAGCTTAAGAGCGGTGAAACAGTCCGCGAAACAAAGTCGAAGGTAGACGAGAAATTCTCGTTGCATGTCAGAAAATCCGATTTTCCCTCAGAACCGTTCATTCTCCCTCTTCACCCTACCTTCACCCTCTCGACAAACTTCTTCTGTGGCGTCTCTCTCTCTCTCTCTCTCTTCTCGTTCTTCGTGTCATTCTTTCAGCACTGTGGAAGCAGAGGCTGCGAGATTATTCCACTCTTCGTGAACTCGTCTCGATTGGCTTCGTCTGATCTCGCGTGCAACACCAAAGGCTCGCTCAAAAGTTCATCGAATTTGACATAATAACCATCTCCTCTAACCCTTTCCAGCTCTTCATTCGGCTGTTTCAAGCGCGTCAACCTGCAACCTCCGTTTAATCTGACAGACTTGTACTACTTACCAGAAACTTGTTCATGCGTCAACCACTCTTCTCCCATTCCTTCTGCTCTTGTGTCGCCTTTATCGAGCTTTCTGCTCCCTTCCCTTCGATACCATTTTCTCTCGAAGAAAACTAATACTTGGTTATTAGAAAAAAGCACACGGTTCTCGTGTAAGTGACCAATACGATTTTCGAAGGAAATAAGATTCGATTTATTTTATTTCGTTGAGACTCTATTTAGTAAGAACTTGAGGATAAACAGTAATTTCAAATAGATTTCAATATGTTTCTCACGTAGAAGTCTTGCTTCTTTATTCGTGAGATTAGTGGAAATACTAACACTCCCTTCGTTCTCAATTCGAGGAAGGGCGTTATCGTTATATCGTTCTTTCAATTAAGAAAATTAGTTTCATTCCATAACCTGAATCCTCGATTCTATATAAATGCAAATGCGAGTATTTTATTATGTGCCAATGCTGGCACTGGAGGAAACCGAGTATAATCATGTAATCGATCATTGACGCTCGAGTGAATAATTAATAAAGCAGATTAATCAGCAATTTACAATTATTACCCAGCTTCGACAAGGCGCAGGACTGGCACCGTGAAATAAAGACGACGAGATCGTAGCTTTTTCTTTTCGTCTTTTCGCCTCTCCGCGTTCTTCATTGAAGAACACGATCCCTCCATTTACGAGCTGCGCTGCACTTGGCTGATCTCTTTGATCGCTTAAAATTCAAATTTCAATGAAACCATGTTAATCGAAGGATGTACGAGGAAAAGTGGCGTACCTTTGTTCGATAAGTGTTCATTGAACAACTGTGGTATTATTCGGAGGAGAGCTCGCGCTTTTGTGTGTTTGTCCTCGTTTTTAGTATCTTATAGAACTATTTTAGTAGTTCCAAAAATTTTACTTTCATTGTTTCAAAATTGAATTTTATTTTCATCTTTAATGTAAATTAAATTAACGAATAATGCTTGTTTCTTCACATTGTTTATCGTAAGTGTAGGCGAAAAAAAATGAAATTTTAACATCTTCATATAAGAAGGATCTTGTTACAAAAACTAAAACAGTAAAAATAAGCTCAGAACAAAACGAAACATCCGAGATATTATTCACTAATAAAACAAACATCGAGACACTAATTTGCGAGGTAACTTTCGAGGAAGACTCGTAACAATAAATAAAATAAATAAAAAATGACCGTCCTGGGCTACCCGTCATTGTTTGAATCCTTAAAAATAAGGTTTAAAGGTTTCTTAAAGTTATTTAAGAAATATACTCAATTTTTAGAATTATAGTAAAAGAAAACGGTGCAAAGTTTATTTTTTGAAAATTTAATTTGACTAATATCCTTTGCTTGTACATTTTCATTTAAATGGCCGGGGCTGCCGGCTCTTCCCCTGTAAAACCAATCTCGATTGATAATCCTGAATTAAACACGAACGAAACGCCGAAGCATTCAGTTCTCGTTTGAACCTGTAAACAAAAATTCGGTGTTTCGTTCACGACTTACAAACTATAGTCAGAGAAACGAAAAAGAGCAACGTCTCTGAGCGCAGCTCGAGTACTTGACACGTAGCATTTAAAAAGCAATTTTAAAAAGGCGGAAAATTGCCAGAATAATAATCCCTCTGACACTCCGCAGGACTCACTTTTTCATGTTACACGCGTTTGAAGCGAACACGAAAAACGTCGAAGGGAGCGAAAACAGGGATCACGGAAATGTCGAATAAATATGCAATGGAGTTTAGAAAGAGCAGCCAAGCGTGGCTGAATTGGCCAAAGTAACAAAGTCTATACACAGGATTTACCAGCTCGAAATGAGAGCGTTTTACATTAATTTCTCGAGGAAAAGAAACGGTTCGGTACCAGCTGTGTTCCGCCATTCAAAGAGGTAGTCGCCATAGGGGGCGAGCGAAGGCTACACACGCGGTTAGCTTCCTTCTCTGGCGGAACCCTCTGTAGACCGGGAGTGGGAAGGAGGGTGTATCGGGGTGAAAGGTGGAGAGAAGCTAGAGAGGAACTGGAAGTGAGTCCTGTGATTGTTTCGGCTTTGATCTTGGATCAATTTACCGGGTATACGCGTACGCCTGAACCCTCCGTGTCCTTGTCTGAAACGCCACCCTCACTGCCGTGCCAGCGACTACTGCACCGACACGAGCGACCATCGCCGGAAGAGTGTTTCTACAAACACGTACAGCCATGTAAATACGCGCGCCTCGTACGCAAGCCAGCAAGTATATATACTTACGTGTAACCACGAGCTACGGGGAAAACTTGTCCTTCGCCCTTGCTTCCTCGTTCGCGCACTCTCTTCAAACTCACCCAGTCATGTAATCCAGCAACGTCTTATCCCTCCTGTAAAACGATACGCTTGAGATCCCATTGCTGAAGAAGCCATTACTGTTCCTGTCTACCAGAGATCTTCGGCATGCGAACAGACACGTTTTCTTCCTGATTCTCCCGATAGATGTTCAAGCTCCGCCGCCTCCCTCCCCATCCTTCCTCTCTGCAGAAAGAAAAATAAGAAAATTGTAGTTCTATCCGGGCGCGGTGCTCCTTAGCATGCATAGCTTTGTACTATGTATTTAAAATTTCTGTTTTAGTTGCAAATTTCGGTCTTCGAATAGTCGATTCCGCTCGCCGTTGCCTCAAGCAGTTCCTTTCTTCCTTTTTTTCTTCGATTAAGCCTCGTTCGCGATGCAAATGTCGTGGGCTAAAGTTAAAAGTTTGAATTATTTAAATGGCTGCTGACATTATTCATGAAACTTTTAGATAGGTTTTGTGCAACGATGCGCTTCCATTCGGCTTGAAGATGACGGAACGCGGTTAACAATATCGGAAAGTGTCGTTTGTCCTTCCATTTCGTTGGGAAACTTTCCGGAATACGGTGCGATCTACTTTAGCTTGCAAATAACTGCTGAAAATGTTTCGTTCTCAATTGTTATAGCGTTTATGAGAACGGTCATTGCTGTTGTAATAAATAATACAGTGGGTGATGAAGTTATTAGAGGTAGAGGTAGGAAAAATATGTTTTTTGTGTTTGTGTAGAAATAAAATCACAATATCAAGGTTTTTACTTTGAACAACTTTTAATTGACAATTAAATATTCACATCGAAAGTGAAACTTAGCTTATGCAGCTATAAAAAATACAGTTAAGAAGTAACAACAAAGTTAGTATTTGGTAGCGACACTTTTCTGCCGCAATTACCGCCTTGATTCCTTTGGTGATATTTTCAAGACATTTTAAATAATTTACGGCAAGAAAGATTAAAATGCTCAAGATCTATAAACCAATGAAACTGTAACACGCAGTTTTCAAGTTACTCGTACAAAGTGTTGCCAAGTGTGTATTTGCAATTTGCAAATGTCAATATTTCATAAAAAAGATAATAAGAATTCAGTGTAACTGGGCTTTCATCTAAAAATGAATCGTTAAAATGCAAAACCATCAATTCTTTGCAGGTGGCTCTATGTAGTATCGGGGCCTCCGTACCCAAAAAATAGGAAGCCGACGGGGGACAATACAGAGGGAGTGGTTGGCGTAGCGCGCAGAGCCTCGGCTTGCTAAGCCGAAGGTCCCTCAATATTTTTCCGTCGTCGGTTCCCTACATCTGTTAATTTGATCACCCGCTGTATATTGAATATGTATTACTCAATTTTAAATAGAATTGTAATTGATCAGT